AAAAAAAAAAAAAAAAAAAAAAAAAAAAAATTTGCTGCAGTAAGATGATTTCAGCTTGACACCAGTGTAATTGGATTAGACTTTTTCTTTGTTTTAAAGTATGCTTTAATCTACACTGACTAGAGTAATGAATCGGCTTCTGTGTTCATATTAATTTTCTGATTTCAGTAATTTCAGATAAGGGTTACATGCTTTGATCTGGGTGATGCTGTAATCGGAATTAAGCATTGTACTACTCACTATTTTTATTGTACAAGTCAGTATGAATATGCCTGGAGAATGCCTCAGAGCTCAACTAAACATTCGTAATATGCAGTAGCTGCATATCTGATTGAATCAATTGTTTATTTAGCCATATTCAACAATAAAATGCTAATTACTGATTGAATAGCATTCTCAAATGGAGGCCATCCTGTTACCCTCAGGTTATCAGCAGAATTATGCCCTAGGCACAAACTGTTTCCAAATGAACAGATTCTGTGTTCATTTGTTATCTCTGAGGAAGGAGCTAATTTCAAGTGAGATGCAGTGGAATACCTGTGGATGTCAAGGGGGTGATTTCTTAGATCAGAAATGGATGGTGTCTGGCAGCACTGAGCATGTGGAATGGCTGGTCCCTGGTGCATTCTGTTTAGTAAGGGACTTGGTTACTGTCAGGACAAGAAAAACACAAAATACATACTATGTTGGAGCAGAGGTGAGAGAGCAATGTCTGTCCTGGTATCTGTAGCAATAATCGCTTCTAAAACTGTAATCACAGCCACGTGGCAGCACAGTGCCTTTTGTACCGTTATTTTTAGTGCTCATAGCAACAGATTAAAGAGCATGATAAAAGCACATGTTTAAAAATAGTAGGCTGTTATAAAATATGATTTCCTTTTGGAAGACTGCATTTAGAACACGATGATTTGTGCAGGGGAGACTTACACATTCCCAGACACTGCTAAGGTTTCAAAACTATTTTAAGAACCTGGTTGTTGTCATAGTAGCAGTAAACCTCTTAATCCCACTTCCTCTGGAGATGAAGCTGTTTTGAACTTAATCTACTTAGGGATTGTCAAGGCTGTTTCTGTGACAGGGAACTAGGAATACAGCACTGACAGAGATGCTACTTGTTGTCACCAGAAAGTTTAATGTTTTTGTCTACTTCGATAGCATTCAATTATGATTTGCTGAGGGACAGATCTTATTACAAGTTAGTAGGAGGGCCAACACCTGGAAAGCTCACCTCCATTTTTAGCAGTGTATTGACACTGTCAATTTTTTTGGCATGGTTAAATGAAACTGTTCCTAGGTCATTTGGGGCAAGAGCATGCCAATATGATTGATCTCTCATAGTTTAAAAACATCCTTTATAAAGAAGTCCTTTCATCCTGAATGCTTCCATTCCTTAGGGTTCCTGAGGCTTCATAAACAGTGCTGAATCTTTTTTGAATACTGCCATTAAAGTCTGTAGTCCTTGCAAAGCTAGTGCACTTAAAAATTTCTTGAAGTATTTGGGTAATATAAACTAACTTATTCTTAAATGTACAACTAGTAGTGATGTGAAGAGAAACGTGTGGAAAATGGACAAATTCTTCAACTTTATCAGTTTAGCTAGGTAGTGAGAATTTTAAATGTCAGATGAAAATAATCATTGTAACAGAATTTTGCATTTGAAAGAAAGACGATGTAAGAGATTGTTTGTATGTATCTAGAACATGAAGAGACCTTCCTTCTCACCAGATCCAATTTCTCAATAATTACTGAAAAATGTTCTGTTGCTAATTAAGTGTAGCCTGGCTACAGTACTGGATTACATAACCTCACCTCAAAAAAATTAGAAGCACTACACTTGTTCTGTTTGTGCCAATGTTTTGTTTCATATGTACCGAATAATGGCAGCAGTTTGAGGACTCTTGTTTGTTTTCCTGAAGTCTACATGTTCTGACTAGATGGACCCTCAGTCTTTAGGACTAATTACATGTCTGAATAAATAAAAGGATGTTTGCAAGTTTAGTTATTCATTTGCCAATGTAAGATAATAGATATTTTCCCCTCTACAAAGTTTTGGTTGGGTCATAGATTTTTGCTCCTTCCCCTCCTTTTCAGCAGCCCTTAGTTCAGCATAACATGAAGAGATGTAATAGACAAACCACTGACTGCTAATCAGGTCTTTCTGTCTGTGAATGAATTGCTGGCATTAGAAAGAGGCCAACCAGTTACTACGGACACTCTGCAATACCCTCTAGACTGAAATGTCACTGTAGTTTCATCACTTTGGCATAAGCACATACCCATTTTGTGAGGTTTTTTTTGATGCCTGGTGCTGCCACTGAACCATTTGTTCAGGGTGCCTCACTCAGTGAGGTACCTGAACCATAATTTGATTCCTTTGCAATCTGATCTTCCCTTGCAGGTTTTGCCTGGCCAGCACCCACAATGAGGGATGAGGGAAGATGGTTCCTTCCTCTTTACTCTTCTTTTCACAGCATTGGCAGCAGACACTATGGGGAGGGAGCAGTGACCACTTCCCAACTATGGCACAAGCTAAGGAGCATGGCAGGGAGTGAAATCCTCTCAGCTGGTGCTGAGTTGTCTCTTGCCCAAATCACCACTTGCAGACTCTGCCAGGTCCCTCAATCTCTTCTTCCATGCCTGCTTCCGTGGCCTCCTCAGATCTGGCTAAGCACAGTCACTGGCAGTGTATTCTTTGGTTTGGTCTGTGGACTAGGATAGCCAAAAGAGTAACTGGAGATCAGTTTTTGAGAGGTGCTGGGGTATGCTCTTATCATGAAGGCCTGAGGCATACAGAGATCAGCACTGGCCTCCACAGAGATGATGCGTGCTGAAGATTACAACTGGGTTTCATCTTCTTCATGAATAGGGCTTCTCCAAGCTGTTTGTAAGGCACCATATCCATATACCCCTCTCCAGGGACTTTGCAGAGTCTGAGCAAGGAGGCTGGCTAGTGATCTCATTAGAAGATTCATGAGGTGGAATGGAGGATGTCTTCCCAGCAGAACTCTGTAGAGTGGCTTTGGAACCTTTCCATTTGATGCTCTGAATAAGGTATTTATTTTAAACCAGCTTTTATTTTAAATCATTCTTAACATTTTTAAAACTAATAATTCCATTTTGTTTTTTTTTTTTTACCTGAAGATTTCAACCTTCTCACCCAATTTGGAACTTTTTTACCCCTAAAAACTTAAGTAGTTTTTAGGTGTGAGACAACATTTTCTTCCTCCTCTTAGGGTGATAAAAAGGCTAGTAGAGTAAGGTTCCCTTCAGTTTATAAAAACAGTCTGTCAATGTTACACTACCCAGCTGATTTCTCAGATGTGACAATTTGGGGATAACTCTGCTAACGGTATCAGTTTTTCTTTACTAAGCTATATGAAGCTAAATTAAACCTTAAATACTTTGATCTGAGTGGTGATTGAATTGAAGAAGTACCTCTATATTCAGAAAATCTTTTCCATATGCACAGGTAGTATTGAGACATCCTATTTTAATTTTTGTCAAGCATTTTGGTCAGAATTTTGTATGAGTATCATTTTAGTGCAGTATTTTAAATTTGAACTTGTAAATCATGTAATTTTACACCAAGCTAGACTCAACCTCTGCCAAGCAGTGTGAGATATGATAGTTGTTAAAGTTAATTCTGTGCGTTAATATGAGCAGATTTTATCAATAGCCTGTAAGCTCCATTGTGTAAGATCATTGTTATATCAGTCTCATGCAGTGGAGTATTTTGACATGCATACTGTTTTTCTTTTCTTGGAAACAAATTGAACAGCTTGATACGAATGTCTCTCATTCTCTCGGAGGAATGGTCAGTGCCTCCGGGTGCTGCTTGGTCTTTATTAGTGTTGGATTTTTTTTCTTCAAATGGTTTTACTATAATTATAGAGATGAGAGCTCTTTATGCTTAATCTTGTAATGAGTTTGTTTGCGTAATGCATTTACCCAAATGGACTTCCTAGCTGGACAAGCACAGAGCTTATGCATACTGCACTGGCTGTGAGAGACATTGCTGGGGATAAGCCAGGGATAAATGAAAAGCTGCATGAGAAAACAGTACTGAGAGCTCTAACACTATCACTAGAGCTAGATATGCTGAACGTATTAATACAAATGGTTAAAATACTGATCTTTACTAGATGGGGATGATAAGCTTAAAACAGCTGCTATGAGACAGAACATTGTTGTCTCCTGCTGCAGTTCTCTGATGAAACTAGAAGCAGATAGCATATGCCTGAGAAGATGAAGCATTGGTTTGTAGCTGTACTTCTTATTCCTTGGGGTTTATATTGGGTAGTTGTCTGTGTCAGCCCAAGCAGTAATTTAGAAGCCTTTATTGTTGGAGTTAGCAGTTTTTTAATTCCCATGTAAAAATCTAGGTTAGTGAATTGTCCTCCTTGTGTTGCCGAGAAAACCCTAGAGAGAGAGCGAGATAGGTCACTGGTTTATTCCACAAACGTTCCCAGAACCTCTCTGAAATAATCTGGAAACTGGAATGTCTGCAGTCTGCTTTCAAACTGATATTTGAAGGATATGTTTTTTATGTCTCCTCCTGAGAGTCTCTCAGAGGTAGGCTCATGATAGAAAGCTGCATTTCTGGCTTGTGTGTGCCGCTGGGTGATAGGAATGATTGATTCTCATTGGCCCAGAGACTTGTGAGGAAGGCTCGTGTCTCACATGAACCATGTTCAGTTTGGCGACCTTCTACTCTCTCTCATGCTTCTAGTGCTAAAATCAGCATAGCTGGGTATGGTACTGCAGTCAGATGTGAGAGCTCCCAGTCCTTGTGGGAAAGCACCAGAAGTTTCACTTCCACCAGTGCTTTCTACAATTTTCCTGCCATTCACAGTAGTAGGAACACTCCTACTGTGTTCCCAATAGTTGGTCCCTTGTTTTGTTCTTGATTATCTCTGCCTTTCCAGCTTTTTTATACCTCAAATCCATGTGCATGTGGGAATGATGGAAATAGGGAAAAACATGCAAGGGAAGACAAATAGTTTTTAGGAATGTTGTTTCTAAGTTTAATAGACTATGCTACAGTGAGAATTTGAACAGCAAGTTTTTCTAATTTCACATAACTCTGAAATAACTAGACCGATAAGTTTGCCTGAGTGCATAGAAATCATTAATGTGTTGAGAGTGCTGAATACAGTCAGGCCCTTAATGGTTATAGAAGCATCCTTCCAGCTGAGATGTCTTCCTTAGAATATGAAGGGACCAGGGCATAACTGTCCTTGAAATATCTTGCCATTAGGTTTTAGATCCTTTTCGCTAAACCTGCTTCCTAGATTCTACTAATTTTTTGAAATCAACATCTTTTCTGGTCACTTGTCTCAGTTTCAAACTTGTTTTTAAACCCTAATACTAAGATGTCCAGATTGAAAAATTATTTTCCTTCTCCTGCTGGGTGGAGAGAGGGAGATGCTGAAGGTACCTCATCCCTCTATGGTGCAATTTTTCTATGTAGTAGAGCCTAACAGTGATTAATATTCCCCTGCTATATTATATCATAAATTCCCATCTGCCAGTCTGGTTATTTTCCCTCTGCCCCTAACTCTGCTGTTTGCTATGTGTCATTTGTGCACTGAATTCTTGTGGTTTGAATTGTTTTTCCCAGGTATGCTTCTCTGCATTCTTCCCAGATGAGTCCACTCTTGGTGATTACCTCTGCCTCCAGTTCTTCTACAACAGTAGAGTCCAGCATTGACAAAAGGTAAAAAAAAAAAAATAATAATAATAATAAAAAATAAATAAAAAGAAGCCCTACAGCTTGCATTAGATTTTCATAAATTGTTTTTCTCTAGATTGATTTTTTGCATCATTCTGCAATTACAATTTAAACAAGGAGGTTTTTAGCTCCTACATTTTACTTCATCGAAGAAGATTTTGAATCAAAGTAACCCTAATAATTCCCATCTTTCTTTGTCAGAAACTTCTGTCATGTTACTCTTTGTTTTCAAGTTATATTGCTATTTTAGTAGCGTCTCTTACCCAGTTCTCCTGACAAGATTCTGTCTGTATCCAAGGCAACTTAAATAATTTTGAGAGCAATATAGTGAAAAGTGGCATATCAATTACTAATATCCAAGTGAGTTACCTCTGGCACTCCCTTTATGCATCATTGAAATTCTGCTTGATTTAAAATGCTTAGGTGCTTTGTGCACAGTTGTTTAGACAGGGAAGATTCCTCACTAATGAAGACCTGCAGTTTTGTAATGCTGCAACATGTTCCAGCCTATTCCAGTGCCATGTGCATCACGTGGGATCTGGGCTGACAGCCAGTGCAAATGTTTCTTCAAGGACGTTAGGACATATTCTAATTATGTTTAGATTCTCCCACTCTTTTCATCTGAAGGATGTCACTCTTTCTACTCATTTCAAAGTGCAGTGCAAAATGCTCCATCTGCCAGCAGGAGAGGGGCCCACTGGTGCACTTGTGTGAGAGGCAGTATGATGGCTGGCTTTGTGAGTGACTCTTTAACCTCCAGCTGTGAGAAGTCCTAGGCCTTTGAACACTGTCGGAGCTGGCCAGTGTCCAGCAGTGCTTTCATCCAGTGCTGAAGGAGATGTAAAATTCCCGGAAGAAAAAGCTTCATTTATTTGAGCCTAGAAAGGGGAGAAGGGGGGAATGAATTGTGAGATGAAGCATCTAGCGCTCATCATAGTTGAAAAAATGAAATCTTTTGGTTAAAGGTCAAAGACTGGAGGAAAAAGGTATTTCTAGGAGCTGTGCATATAAAATGTATTATCTCTCTATCCAGTATTGGATGTATTTGATGGGGATACAGAATTTTACCTAGTGATCTTTTTTAAGGGAACAGGCTGTAGAACAGTAGGCAGAAATGAAGGTCCTCACGCAATACTGTGCACTTAACTGTAACTCCTTTGAGGTGAGGGCAGATCCATGTCTATGCAAACGACTGCATTTCTGTGGGTATGTAGGCTCAGCTTGGAGTTCCTGATGTGGGGAGGAAAGAGAGAGATACTACCCTTGTTTGGCCTTATTTTGTGAGTTATCCAAAGACAAGTCTCTTTTCTTGTCTTTGCTGTGGTCTATGCCCTCTGACCAGGCAATCAGTGTTTAATTGCATGGGCTTTTCTCTTGGAGAGCCACATACAATAACACCTTTTCAACTGTATTAATTTCTACAAGAAAATATTGTCACATCAGATCTCTGAATGCATAAAACAGCCTGCGTCAAACTTCAGAAAATCAGCCAGACTCTCTCAATCCTTTGTGACTGCTGTGATCATCCTGCTGCCTGGCGTGACCTGAGTAATCATGTATTGTCTGACTCATGCCTCAGTCCTGAGTCTCACAGGTTCACAGTAGTGTTCAACCACAGTTTGAGACCTCTGAGGGTAGCATTATGTTCAGGAAGAAATTTTTATGTGTTCAGGCAGCACCTGGCTATGATTTGGAAGCATCTTGGGAAGCCTTTTGGTGTAGGTCATGTGATATGTTACCTCTGAGCCAGTGTCACAGGTAAGTCACAGTTGAAGTGACTTTGAGAGGAGTGAAACCAAAGATTATAATCTCGAGCCTTTATGTCATTATCAGAACACAAACCACTTTCAAGTGATACATGGTCCAGCTTTTGATGATGATGATGGCAACTGTGGTAGCCACTGATTGTGATAACCAGGTGAATAAAGTTTGTGAACTCCTTTAATAAAAGATGGTGCACAGGCTGTTGTTGGGTTAGTTGCTGGATAGAGCTGCTTCTGGAGGAGAAAAAAAAAAAAAGAAAAGATAAAGGGTGATTGTTTTGTACCTTTCATCTGACCCAAACATTAGGATTAGGAGAGAGGCAAAGAAACTGACACTAATTCTCTTCTTTGCCTACACTTGGCTTCTATTGCTGTAAGATTGCTTACCTCAATATATCTAAGATGAAAGACTGGTTCTACTCTTGGGACTAGATTTACTGGACAGGAGTAGGTGTCTGACTTGAAGACTTTTCTTTGTACTTTAATGGGCTTCCCAAGAGAATTCTTCAGATGAAAGTTGTTTTTCTATGGCAGACTGCATAGAGTCTCATTATTGCTCTGGCTTTTGCTGCACAGCGCATATGTTACTGTGGGGTTGTCAACCCTTCTTCAGTGCAATAAAAATAAGTAGATTAACCAAGCAAAGAAGATTAAAGACACTTTGGGGAAGGAAAGAGAAGGGAGGAGGATGAGCAGAAGGGAGTATAAAAAGACCACAAGATTGTGAGTGGTAGGCTTCCTGGTGCATGTTACACAGGGTTGCTCTCTTTATCCCTTTTGGGTTTGGGTTAGGACGACTGAATAGAACCGATCCTGACACCATGTCGAAAGAGAAACTAGAGTCACTGGTCAAGAATATGGAGATCATGCTCTCTGAAGTAGAGCAGCTGAAGATCCACTGCACCAAGCAGACAGAGGAGGTAAACCAGGTGGTACAGGAGCTGCGCCGGGAGAACAAGGAGCTGACAGAGAAGTATGAGCACATCTGTCAGGACCTGAAGGAAGCCAAGGAGGCTATTGCCCAGTTGCAGGACACCAAGTTTGCGTTTGAGGCAAAGGAGCGACAAGCACAGAAGCTCAACCGGCAACTGTGAAGCAGTAGGAAAGAGAAGGAACCTGCTTTATGAATAGAGAGAAATCTTCAACTACTGCAACCAAAAATCCTTGGATCAGTATTTTAAAGCAACTCTCTCCCTTCCTCCTCAGACTAAACCTGTGTGCTGGAAAAAAAAATTCTTTGTGGAGGCAAGATCTCAGATGCAGCTGGAGTTCTGCCCCAGAAGGCTCTTTTGTTAACAACTAAATGCCTCGTTATGCTGGAAGGGAAATCTTATTCCAGAATCCCTTGTCAGAAATCTGAGCCACAGGCATACAGCAACGGCTGCCAGGATCTGGGCACCTTCTCATGCCCTGTGGGGGTTGCACAAGGACAGAATCCAGGAAAAGAACTGTCTCTGCCTTGAGCCACTGGAGAGAGCTGTGCTGTGAGACTTCGTGGAGACAGAGGGGAAGGATCATCATCTTGACAGCCCCTGTTGCTCTGTTTCATTGCTAGCTTTTTTCTGTGTGCAGCCAGGCTGTGATGCTGTCTTTAGATGAGTGTCAGCTTCCTTGCTGCCTGTCACTGAAGGACGCCAATGAGAGCCAACATTGTGCCTCAAGCTTCCAAGTACTTGCTATCAAGGGCATGTTGGTCCGGAGGAGCTTTTAATGCTGTTGCAGTCGATGTTGTCTTCTTATAATTCCAAAGTGAAGTAAAGAACTAGAAAGGTTTCTGTCTCAATTTCCATTTCAATAGAGCTAAATCTTAATGACTCCATGTTCACCATGCTAGAGTTAAATCTCTGCTGAATATAACACATTTTAACCTAAGAGCATGTTTTGGCACTGAAATTACTTTTCTTAAGCAGAAATAATGTGTATAAGTGGACTGGAGGTTAGAAGGATAAATGTATGTGGGGCATGGGGGTGGGAATTGCTTGTCAGAAGTTTTGCTTTCAACTTTTCTTTCTTCTGTCTGTCCTAAATGGCATTTGCTGTAGTCGGTGCCAAGTCCAGCTAAGAGCAGGTGACTTCTGACTGCACAGTGAATAGCAGGAGATCTCCGAGGGGAGTCTGGAGAGATTACTGAGAGAAAAAGCTTGGATGTGTAAACAGAGAAGAGCTGGAATAGTTCCAGGAGAATCTTTCTTCGTATTGGCCGTGTTGTTGTCTTCCTTCTTCCCTTCAGAGCTTTGCTGTATTGTTATCATTGCCAGGCAAGCTCTCTCTTCTAACAAAGGCTGAAATCTGTGAGAAGCAGGGATGCTGTTATCTGTTTCTGAGGGACTCAGGGTCGGTGTTTTGTCAGGAACATAGGCATAGTGTGCTGGGGTGAGGGAGACTAACCATACTGAGAGCAAGTAGTCATCACCGAGGGAAAAGTGAAGCCTGTCTGCTTTGGTTTTTCCAGAGAACTTCAGGCAGGGGCAGAACAGTTTAGCAAGACTTTTTAGGACTCAGTCCAGCAGTAGTGAAAATAATTGTCATTTTGTCACTGATTATAAAACACCAAGATCAGGCCTATAATTAGCTACTTATTGTTCTTTCTCTGCTCTGTCCTCTGCCACTTCAGTCTGGGCCTGATCCAAAGCCTTTGAAAATTAAAATCTTCAGATTAATTTGATGGAGCTGTGGTCCAGGCCTTCCAGCTAGAGGGCTGTTGTTTGTTTGGCAGTCAAAGTACAGGGGTATCAATGGGAACAGCTTTATGAATCACTGTGAATCACTGTAAATAGGAGCTGTGACAACATGTTTTATTACATTTGTGTGCTCTAAACTTTTATTTTTGCTTTTTTGGGTGGAGCAGATTGGAATATCTAGAAAACATTTGGGAGATTGGAGTCTGTCCTTTTTGTTTTCAAATCTAATCTGAATATAAATTACCAGCCTTGACTTTTTGCTACTTGCTTACCACTAACAGCTTGGGAAGCAAAAAAATAATTAATCACTGTATTTGTTTGTATAAGAACTAAAACTGTTTTCTCTGGGAATTGATTTTCTAGCCCAAATCTGCTTACCACCTGTGCTTTCTTCTACTTTTTATATATAATTAAAATGTAAAATCAACAATAAAAAGAAAACGAACAGCCAAGGGATCGTCTGTTCTGGATAAGGAATTGCCTCATTAATGCATGTATATGTTATTTCTGAGTGTGTGCGCATGCTTGCTAAAAATAATTATTCTACTGTAAATCCTCTGCAGCAAGGAGTGGATTAATGGAGATCCTCCAGATCTCTCTGTGTTCCGAGGTTAATCTTTCTAAATGAGATTCTCTGTGTGGCTGCCAAATTCACCCTACGTAATATTTAAATCCATGATGCAGAAGAAGAAAATGGGTTTGAAGGAGCCTTATCTTAAGTTTCTTAATAATTAGTATTCTAAGTGTCTAGTTTTAAGGAGGGCTGTGATTCTATGTAAATATTCTAGGATTTGAGATAAGACTTTGGAAAAACTGGACGCGTTATCCAGTGCTAGAAAAAAATTAATATAGCTTCCTCTACCTTTCCAATAGATGCAGTTATGTCCTGGTTTAGTTTACACTGGTTAAACTTGGGAATAGTTGGGCTGTTTTGAAATCAGCTGAAGTCCTACTATATGCCAGCTCTCTGTTTTCATATGCAAATATCTGTGTATCCAAGTAAGGTCTTAGCAATGGATCAGTGCCTTTGCTTGGATCCTGAGATGCAGTATTTTGGAGTGTCTTTCAGAACAATGTTTTTCTGGAATTAGTCACAGCACTTGGAAGTTGTTAGTGCTTTTTGAACATCAGCACTATCACTGCGTGCTATTATTCTTTAAATGGCCTAAGGATGAGGAGCTGAAGTATATGTGGGGAGGGGGGGGGAAGGGAAGGAGGGAAGGGGGCGGGCATCATCAGTTTTTTCAGAACATTGGCATGATTAGAAGACATGAATAGAAGTTTTGCCTGATTTGGATGACAATCAAGATAAATACAAAGTGACAGTCTTACCATTTCCTTTATCTTGGAAAGGGATGAAGAGAGGTATCTAATTCTTTTAATATAAAAAGCCAAATTATTTGAAGTCTGTCTTGGAGAGCACAGCACAGTAATTGGCTTAGTTGCCAAGAAGAGTCTAAGAGAAAGAGACCCAATTAGACCACGTGTCTGTGAGTTGGTCTGTTCTTGGAACAGATTATAGCAAAATATTGATGACTTTTCACTGTTCTGGGCTGTGTTAAATGGAAGTGCCCAAGAAGGGAGGCTCAATAGGAATGAAGCTTATAGTTTAATTACAGAAAGCCTCTTCTTCTGACACTGAGCATGAGTGTACTTGGGTGAGTGGGAAGGAATTAAATGGTGCCCATGAGCACACAGGCTGATGGATAGGAATCCCTGGCTGTTAGCTCACTGAACAAGAAACCATGTTGCTGAATTGAAAGCAATAGCTAGATGTATTCTGGGACTTTTAAGTATAAAGTATAAACAAAGAGGAGCACAAACTCACTGGGGAGTACTTGCTTACTGAACCTTAGAACAAGCAAAAGTGGACTGTTTCTGTCCACTGCAGCCAGGAAAACAGAAGGAAAACCTAGGAGTCACCTACAAGACCCCAAAACTTCACAAATCATAGCTGTAGCACTCCATGAGAGAAGTGAAAGAATCCTATGTGATACTTATTTCCTTACATATCAGTGCTTCATGAAATTCTACCTTTGGAAAGATCTCCAGATTTCAGAAATACAGTATCTCTTGAAGACCTTGTTAAGGTCAGCAGCTGCAGTTTAATTCTCTAGATTAAAAATCACAGGGAAATTTGAAGACAGTATAGAAGGTGACTCTCAGAAGTTTAGGTCTGTTTGTCTCCAGTTGCCTGTTTGCAGTTCTCAAAGTCCTGGATTAGGGCATTCAGAGTTGGGAACCAATATCCCTATGAACACTGGAGCCTATTCTCCATATGTCTGATTACAATTTACTCTCATGTACTCTACTGGAACCCAACACACTGGCAAACTACAAAAAAAATGATCTCTACTAGTAACAGTGCCTATACAGAATATGTACTAGATCAACTGTTCTACAAAGTCTTGAAAGAGTTCCTGGATGGAGAAGGGAGAGAGGAGTGTGTGAGTTATTACAAGAGCACAGCAGACTTTTATGCAGTTATATTGTAAAGAGCTTGCAACAAGCTTTCCAGCACAGGAAATCAAACCTCTTTTCCTGAGGGGTTAAGAAAGGTTTTAATTCTATATACTGATAGGCTGTAATTCAGAGGGTTAAATGGCATGCCTAACCTGTGATACTGAGTAGGAGTCTGAGAAGAACTGAGTTATCAGTACTTTATTCAAATTTGAAGAAAAGTTCAGATTTAATCAAATTTTATTATTCTGCCTTATCTTTAAAAAGAAAAAAAATAGTATGTAAAAAAATGTGCAGTTTTCAGACTGCTGCGCATCTGATAGAAGGAATGATGGGCTGCAGTATCCCTGATAGCAGTGGACTTAGTTTGACATCCCAGAGGCCCTTATTTCTTTCCTATGTCATTCAGTCATCAGCATGTTTACCTGGAGTGTCTGATTGCAGTTCAGTGTTAACGTGTGCTCAGAAGGATTTGAAGATGTGTCTGAACAGTATGCCCTCAAGTACTAGGCTAAGGTATAGAAATGGCTGTCCATTTCCATTACATAGGCTACTGCAGTTATCTAAGAAATTGGACATTAATGTAACTGGAAAAATATTTTGCATAGCAAGTCATGAGATACTTGAGAATGGAACCTAAATCTCGTGACTTGAGCCCAACTTGGTTTCTAGTTGAAGAAATTATGCTGCTTTCAAATGAAATTAAAAAAAAAAAATCCAACAGCTGATACTATGGAAGTTTTGGATATCCTTAACTAGTTAGACTGGAGCAGATCTGTAAAGTATGCAAATCTTTAGATATTTGAAAACATCCTCTGGCAGTAAGGAATCCTGTTGGCTTGTTTCTGTGAAAGGTACTTCCTGGAGCATAATAACAGAAAGCTGAAGTCTCACTGCAGACCTCTGTCCATATAACTGTTGAAATCCCAGCATCGCAGCTCCTGTAGAGAATGCCTGCTTCTTAGCAAAAGCACTTAACTGATAACTTTAAGAGTGATATCTTGTTCAGCAGTATGCATTTAATATGTGTTTACCTCAGTTGTTGATGATCTCATATGCGACATCTAGATGCCATTGCCTCCAGGCCAGTCACTGGATAGAGCTGATGGCAAGAGTAAAATGCCTCAGGTTCTGAATATATTCACTCCATAGTGAATTGTAGTTGTCTTATCAAGAGACAAGAATGGTCTTGAATAAGTGGATTATCATACTTTCACTAAATGGTGGGTGATGAAAATAATTGCAGCGTAAGGATAATGTTATTTCTTACAGAGAAAAGGCACAAACACAAAACATTCTTTAGAACTGCAGGGCAAAGATTTGTTTACTCCATACTGGATTGTCCTTTTTCTGGCAAGGACTGGCCTTCATTTTGAATCCCACACTAATAGCTGCTGATTTTTGTCGTGTCCCTACTGGAACTAGGCTTAATTTCTTTAGTTAATAAAAGGAGTTTCATCTATGTTTCATGCTGCTTAGTTGTGATAAAGTCTGGTCACTTCTTGCTTTATTTTAACATATTAGCAGATTGTCTATTAAGGCTTTATGGGGTTAAAATAAATCTAGATGTGTTTACACAGCATCTGCTTTAATGCAGTAGGCACAGCTGTTTTTGGATGTATTTTGGCTAGATTCCAACACGGGCAGTCACATTTTCCCTGTTTCTGAACTCCTTTGTAGCTTAAGCTGTCAGCCAAGAACATAAGTATTGCAATTAGGCTGCTATACCTGTTTATTTCAAAAAAAATCATCTATTAAGGGTCCTATTGCTGTGAGAAGACATTTTAAAAATCAGGTTCTTATTAATTCATCTGGAATTGTGTTTCGTTCTATTAGCTTTTGAATGTTTCAATTCTTTCAAGTGATGGAAGCTAAAAGCTTTAAAGTGATCTGCAAGAGTGGTTTATTTGTATAAGACAAAGCATTCAGGCTTTTATTTGTAGAGGATCAAACATCATAAAGCTTAGGATATAATCGTGACAGCTGGCAGGATGGCAATAGCCAGTGGCCAGTTGAGAGTAGGAGGTAGGTAAAGAAAAAGGGCAGGCTGAGGTAACATCTTTCTGAAAGAAAGAGGCCTGCAGGTTGGCCCCAGAAAAATTTGATTCTAAAGGGGAACAACAATTATCTCTGTATTTTTAATTAGACATTAACAGTATTCCATTATTGCTTCTTCTGAAAAGGGGAACATAGATAGTCATGCATCAGCAGTCGAGTGCATTGTATCTTTAAAACTTTGAGGTGCTCCTGCTTGTTGGAGGTGATGACATTTTGTGTTGGTTTTCCTGTTATTTTATCCTGTAGACTTTGTTTATTATGTCAGAACTAGCTTGGACAGCAAAGTACAGGATTGTTTTTGCATGTGGAAAAGTTGTGACTTTTATTTGAACTGTCCCACATGGGATAACTGTAGAATTTGAGTGCTGTGTACCTTTTGTAGCTAATTGCCAGGCAGGGATTGACCAACAGGGATTAAAGCAGCTGTAGCCTTTGAATAAAATTGCTTGCAGTAGTATTTGCGGTTCTGTGTCACCTGGAGCATTTCTGACATTGTTGGAAGCTTCTGTTTGGAGCTGTGTGCTGTCTAGGCTTGTCAACGATTGTCAAGGTTATTGTCTCTTTTTCTCAGGTAATGCAGTAATGTGGCCGACAAGAGTCCAGCAATGCCAGCTCTGGATATTTCATTGCATATCTTGATGTCTTCCTTGCAGATCCAGTACATGGAGTTACCTGAAGGCAGGAGGTTCAGCTTTCCTTTTGAAAGTAGGGTTCTGTTCCTCACAGTTTCAAATGAACTGCTGATGAAAGAGGACTCTCAAAACGGAAGGCAAATAAGAAGAAGAACCCAAACTTAAGTTTTAAACTTAAGTTTTAAAGCTGTTGTCGTAATCTTGGAGATATCTTTCATAATATTTTTAAGTAGGGTGAAAATGCTGACAGCTGTTTGTAGTTGCTGATCCAGAATCTATTTTTATAGATCAGTGATCTTTGTATTTCAATATTTTATGCTTCACAGGGGATAGAATCAATAGAGGGAAAAAGAATCTGTTTTCTAGATAAAACAACATCATCATTTAAGTTGTTATGCAATGACTTCTCCAGTATCCACATGATTAACAACACAAGTTTTCCTTGTAATGCATCCAACTATATTTGTGTTCCTTCAACAGCTTTTCTATTGCAAAACTGTTCCTTCCTGGGAATTTTAAGAAGGTATCTAAATTGCATGACATTTGTTCAAGGCAAAAATAGAGAAACCTGAGCTGCCATTGTATTTGGTTAAATTCATATCTTATTCATATAAATTCGTATCCTAAGTAATAGCATTCTCAAATCTCAGGGATCTGATTAACTCTGCTTATAGCCAGAACTAGCTGATAATTGTATCTAAGTTCAAACTTTCTTTGGTCAAAAAAATATTTCTGAACTGTTTCAAACTTCAGTTCTAAAGGAAATAATTTTGGTTTAGAGTTAGGAACTTACTAAAAGGAATACCTAAGTGATCTGTCTCACTTTTGATATGCTGCCTACAGCTAAAATACAACTACTTATAAGGGCTCCACCCCTTCAGTAACTTAAGGCACAATTTAGAGCCAATGTGTGCTCGCACACAGACTACAGGAGCTAGAAACAATTCCATGTTATGCATGTGCACATGCACGCTTAGAACTCTGGCTTTCCTAAGCAAAAGAAAACTCTTGTGAAGAAACTTGGAGGCTGAGGGGGTTAAATGAAACCCAACTCCTTTTCCTGTGTTGTAAGGCTTAGTAACCAAACAGAAGCTGGAGAGAAGAGCGGGTTAGGAGCCACTATTTGAACCTGAACGATAGTAAAGTGATTTTTGCTGCTTGTCTACAGAGTGGCATCAGTGCCTCCAGCTTTTACACTCACCATTCACAGGTACACGCAGAAGGTAAGAGTTGTTTTTGTGTCCTGGGCTGTCTCCTTATGCTTCCGTCTGGACATCTATTTTCTTTCAGTGCTGGGTTTGGGCTTTTTTTTGTTTGTTTGCATTAAGTTACCTTTGATTTTCCACTGTTGTTTTTCTTTAGTTCAAAGAACACAGGAGAGAAGAGTTACCACATTGCATGCACTGCAAAATCGGATTTCCTGGTAGGGAGGGAAGAAAACATTTAATGTGGTTGGTGAACATTAATCCCTTTCCCTCACAGTTAATTACACTATAACTTAATGTAATCAAAACTGTTCCTGACACTGTGAGTGAGGAGAAACAAAAGGGTGGAAGGGTCAAATGCATGTGCATCACCAGGAAAAAAACACAGAAACCAAGACACACGTAGCAGGGGTACTGACTGGAGAAACATGCTTTTTGCTGGTAGAAATTAAAAAAACCCTGCCCAGGTGTTAGGACTCTTAAATTTGCTAACCACAATCCCTGGAGTGCTCAGCTGCTTCTATTAATGTTCTAGCAGGGGAGGGAGAGTCTCCTGATCAGTCTGCATTGCTTTCAGCTGTGTGAGGCAGGATCCATTTTGGAGTCTGATTCCAACTTGAACAGTGGTGCTTGAATCAGCAGACGTGCTTGCGAAAGGGTGGTTTGCAGGATGGGATCTCAACCTAGAGGAGGTCTGATGTGTGAGGGAGGCCAAGAAGCTTCTAAGGGAACTGTGCTGGTGAGGAGATGGTAATGGAATGGTGGCAACGTGGTAGGGCAGTCTTGGTGTTCGTTGTGGATGGTTGGATGGAGGAATGTTTGCTTAATAACTAAGTTTCAAAGCTGTGATAAAGTTAACAATCTTGAATGGAGTTCCTGTTGTTAGAAATAACTAAGCTTAGTAAAAGAGATCAAGGAGATTTTAAGTTTTGTTAAGTCTGTCTGCAGGGACCCTAAAGAACACCTTATTTATTACTTTTAGAAGGGTCTTCACAAGGCTTAAAAGTTTCTCTTATGCTTTCTTTATTGCACTTAAAATGGCTCTTCACCAGCTTTTCTGCAACTTACAGGTTTTTTTCCTGGTCTCTTAAAGACACATCATCATCTTCTGTAGTGCGAGAGCCAGGGTCTGTAAATGGAGCAGCTGTGAAAAATCATTCTTTCTCAGGTGCACTTTGTGGGTGAGTTGGTGTGCTGCACAGCCATGTGTGTTGGACAGCCTCACCGTTGGGCTTTTAGGATTAATGCTCTGCTGTTAAAAGGAGTGAAGAGAAGCGTGTGATGTGCAACAGAAGTAGGTACGACTATGTATCTTTGGCATGTCATTAGCTTGAATTAGTGCTTTTTGAGGTTAGTGAAACAGAACAATTAATGCAAAAATTAAAAGCATAAAGTAAACTCGAGGTCTCCAGAAGTTTTGCTTTTAGTGTATTTTCTTTATCTGTGTGAGATAATTTAGACTTCAAGTGTACTTCTGGGTTCTCACGCGCCAGAGAGCATCCTGGCACCTCAGAGGTGTTTTTGAAATATTTTCTATCATGAATGTAAACACTTGATGGTTTAGGGAAATGCTGCTCTGTAGTATGTGCATATTCCAAATCTCTAGTGAACTGTCCACTCTGAATGTAGCTTTGGAGAAAAGGATTTTGACGAATGACTTGAAGGGATGTTTGAGAAAAGGTATAGGTCTTTCTTTGCTATCCTCTCTCTCTCTCTCTTTATGATATTAAGAATAAAACAAATTAATTGGCTTTAATTTTAAGGGATACAAGCAATCATGGTTGTAGAATGAATTATCTTAAATGCTGGTCTTCAATAAGTGATAATCTTCTGATGCAAATCCTGTGTATCTGTTTTGGGGATGGAGTTCTTTCTCTAGTCCTGCTTGGTAAAATGTCTTGTTGCTTAAGGAATTACTTGCCTTACAAAGTTGGCACCAAGATTTGATGGAGTTGATGTGAAAGACTGTGCTGAAAGGATTCAGGAAACGGGAAAAGAGGTGTCTTGTTGGTTCTACCAAGAAAAATGGTTGCAAGCTTACATGTGAGCAAATCTTTTTTTAAAAGAACTGGTTTTTTTGGGTTTTTTTGTTTTTTTTGTTTTTTTAGACAATAGAGAAATTACAAATGTATATATACATATATATATATGTATACATATATATACATGTCCAGTCTTGATTCAGATGTCCTTCTGACTGTGATATATATAAAGACAAACTAATGTTCTGTGCCCTGAAACAGGTAGGGTTTAGGCTGCCAAAAGGCTTTCTTATTGTTCAGAGCATTGTTAAATGCTTAATAAAATGTTAACCATTTTATGATATCATGTATGCACTTTATGACTCACCAGTACACAGGAAAAAAAAAAGCTTTTTTTTTTTTTTTTTTGTAAGAGGATGAGATATGCTATTTTTGTGTAAGAACAACATGTAGAACACATTGGATGTAATTACAGGTGTTCTCACAATTGGTATTAGAGCCTTGTCCTTAGCTGATACAAGGAGGAATTGTTCTTCTGGTGTACTAATGCTGAGTGAAGTACTGAAAAAATACGCTGGTTTCCGTTTAGATCTCTGAGAAGCATTAAAACTGATGATAAACTCCTTACAGTACCCACCATAGCTGCAAAGACTAGACGTTTGGATGAGTGACAGATGGTTGCTCTGATCTAGCACAGTCGTTTGCAGTTATGCCCATGGTATGATGGACTTGACAGAAGGGCTTATCTCACTGGAAATTATACTCTGCTGAATGCAGTTTCACTGTCTTATTTTTTTAACCTAACTACTGGGTTTGAAATAGGATTTGTTGTGCTCCAATATCTTTTCTTGGATGATGACTAACAGAAGTTACTAGATGTGTGAGGAGAGACCTTAACATTAAAGATTTGATTGGTTAAGTAGTCATATGCATAGTCTCCGTACAAAACACTTGTTCATGCTAACCCTACACACTAACAAGCTCAAGTTTTCCTGACATACAGATACGATGTATGGAAATAAGTACTGTCAAAAGATTGTTTATTTCTCTGCTTAACTCTTAAAGAAGTAACTAAAGGTTTTGCTTTTGGCATCTGTGGGAGAAAACTGTCTTAGAGCAAGGAGCCAATCTATATTTAAATCCCACTGTTGTAAGTTTGCTGTGATCACACAGCTGAGCACGTGCTTCTTTTTAGATCTCTCCAGGCGCTGCCATGCGATCACATTCTCCTAAGATCTTTTTTACAAAGTTAATTTTTGGTGACAGATGAAAGATGCTTGGCTGGTGTCCTTAGAGACTCTGGCCCTATTTCCACTAGCTGAGGTTCTGCCTCCTAAGTTAGCTGAAGTTGTGGTGTTTGATTTTTATTTTTTTAACTCTAATTTTTCCCTATCTTTTGTTTCTACTTCTGTTAATCAGCTTTGTGTTACATAGCAATGGAAATAAGCCCACTAATTTCTCTGAAGAATTTCCTGCTTCATGTCACCAGAGGTATGTCAGCATCATAGTCTGCAAGGGTAGCTGCTTAGGGAATAGATGTACCCACACTGGTTGGTTGTGCTTGGCCTATTTGCACCTATATGTAGGTAAAACTTAATTTATTTTTTTTTTTAAGTAATTATTTTAGATGTGGAATTAGCAGCAGTTGAAACCTGTGTGAGAGTCAGGGTAAATATTTTTGGTTTTCTATCAACATTGTTGTTTGTCATCAAACAATTTGGATGTGACATGAGTGTTCAGCAAGTACACTGTTGAATGTAATGTTAATATCCTTTCAGAGAAGAGATGTAGATCCTGCGAAGACACAAAATAATTTGTATTTTTTTAAAAGTTTCCTTTTAAGATAGCACTCACTTTTTTTAAACCTTTTGCACAGATCAGAATTACTACATTTATGTTTAGGATGAAATGAAGTTAAATAAAATTGGAAGTTGTTCTCCAGTATCCCTTATCTTACTAAAGGATTCTTCAGTGTCAGGTATTATTTCAAATCAGGCTAAATAATTCATTTAAGTGAAGTCTGTGCTACTGAGGGCATCAGTTGACCTAGAAGGTTGTTAGCCATTCCTCTACATTGTTGATGTTTGGGATATTATATCCTTGTTGTGCATTTTCCATTAGAAGTGTGTGACTGCTTGTTGTAATATTTATTGTCTAAAATAGTCTGCATGCTCTTGTCTTTATCCTTATGTGCTCACATACTTAATTAACAACTAAGGACAGCAAGACTACCAAGTAGAAGGCAGAAACCTATCTTCTCATAATGAATTTCTAGCTGCAAACCCAATAGTGGAAGGCTGGATGCAGAAAATTGAATCTCATCTGATATTAATAGATAGAAAGATGGCTGTCCTCATGAAGCACTGTATAATCTCCTGCAGTGTGGAGATAGGGAAGGAAGCAAATCAACTTCTTCCCCAGTAGGGTATGGTGTGATGCCTTCCTAGGCTTCCTGTGTGTTACACATTCTAATCTTGCTCTTCCACCCAGTGGTTTTTCAGCTTATGTTTTGTGTGATTGCTGTATTGAATATAGAACTGTATGAGATAGGCTGCTATAGCTTACGCAGGTGGTGCTGAATTTGATGTTGCTATATGCTGGCAGTGTTTTTACAGAGGACTTCAGAGTCAGCAATGTTAAGCAATGCTCCAGTTCAGGTTTTGTGTGTGCTATGAATCAGGCGGAAGGCTGAGCTTGAAAGGCTGTTGATATAGCATTTTAGAAGAATCTCATATGTTGCTATTCAGCTGGTGCTCTCTTGCTGTGCTCATTAGCATGTTTTTCTTAACTTTTAACTTAACAAAGGTACATTTTTAGAGTTATTCAGCTGAAAAATTAAAATGCATATTATTGCTGAAAGTACATCTTTTCAGGATTGCTTTTTGATGAGGTTTCTTTACTCCTAGCATGTATGTAGAATGAATTAATAAATCTATATCAGTGATAAAAATAACTCTGTAAAACTTTTACTCAATTTGTGTTTTTTTTACCTTCTTCTCCCTCCCTTCTTATTTCACTAAGCGCCTTCAACTAGTCTCTTGTTTAAATACACATTTAATAAACGTTTATCCACTGCTTTGTATACAAACAGCTCTTTATAAATGTGGCTTGTTGTGTGGTCAAGACAAAGGAAATTTAGCATCCTCTCACTTTAACAAGCATATGCACATGAATAGTCCAATCCACCCAACCCAAAGGGCATCTGGCCCTGATTTTCTTTTTGAAAAATAAGAAAAGTAAAAATCATTTGCTGTAGGCAGGGAAGAGAACAGGTAGGCATGATGTTAAGATGTATCTTGGATGTGACGTTCTCTGTCCAAAGGAACATGTTTATTGGTTCCTCTGGGCCTTGTGATGTGATCCTCATGCTTTCCCAATGCTGCACTCAGCATAAGTAAAAGGATTTTTTTCCCCTGTAATTGATCCCTGTTCCATTACCTCCTGTCTTTCACCCTGCCCTTCTTACCACATCTGTATTTTCCATTTTTAACTCACCGAAAACCTGAAA